GGAATCTGGGAAGATGACCAAGGATCTTGCTCTTATCATTCATGGATCCAAGTAAGTTCCATATCATTCGTAGTCATGAATGGCCTTTTTCCACTCAGCCGTTAAGATTGAAAATTTTATCTTTTTAACATTATACCCATGTTTGGTGCAGGCTTTCTCGAAACCATTATCTGAATACTGAAGAATTCATTGATGCTGTGGCGGAGGAACTAAAATCCAGACTTCTCAAGGCATAGTGGTATTTTAAATGTTCAATGGTCCATCATTGTTAAAGATTTCAAGAATTTGCCCATTTGCTCTTCTTTCCTTAATAATCGGTATAGTAGGAGGATTGTTATTCATGCATTTGGCTGTTTGCTATTATTACCATCTTTTCTCGTATGGCACCTCCCTGTCTTTTTCATCTCTCTATGTAATTGTACTACCGTTTTATTTTTTCGACAAAATAAGTTTGTAAAGACAATTTACCTTGAGAGTTTATCCTGCTCATGGAAAATGCCAATGAGTTTTCTGTCGTGTTTTTATTACAAGAGAATGGACCATTTCTTCCAAGGATAAATTTGGTTATGAAGAACGGTTGTGGAATCTGTTGAAAAGATGGTGACATGCCTCGTAATTCTAATTGAACTTGGGTTGTCCACTCCATCCCAATTTTAGATCTTACTCTCTAATTGAACTTGAGGTGTTCACTCCATCCTGATTTAAGATCCTACTCCATTTTTTCTGGAAGAGAACCTGTTGTAGTAGAGTGTGCCTTCTTTTCTTGCAAAAATTGTGCTTGTAAAATAGAATGTTTCGGCTCAAGCAAAGACCATTTCTAAAATGTTTTTAGTTTAGGCTATGAGTTCCAAAGTTCCTCTACCATACTGTGTGTTTGAATCTATTCTGATCTAGATCTTTAGTCTATTATAAGATCAGGGGTACAATCAAAATCAAAGATTGGTAAACCAAATATGGAGAAATATCTCAAGTTATATATAGCTATTTTGCCCTGTCAATCTTTAGTGGATGCTGATAGATTCAATCGACAATTATTAAGGATTCATTGGCTTTTCTCGGGCCATTGTGAAGCCACATGGCCCCTTTTTGTTTGTGTACAAAGAAACTACTGTTTCATTGCCTTCTGATTCCCGTCAACGAGTGCCGGCCTCTTTTGGTACTGTTTTCCAAGTTGGAAAGTGATAAAAGTAAGGATTCTGGTAAGATCATTGGTTCAACCAGGGGACTTTTATTTGTGCAGGGCTTCTTCTATGTGGCACTTGTAGCTTTAAAGAAGTTAGAGATTTTTTCTGGACAGGTTTAGTAGGTGGGGAAATGTTAATTTCTTTTGGCCTATTGTCTAGAAGCCTCCCTTGTTACGAACTTCTTTACTTTTAGATCTGAATTGGAAAGTTGTTCCCATTTCCATATCAGGTAGGCGATCTTATCACACTCTCCTCGTCTTGTTCCTTTTCCCTTTAGCCAAGGTTTCTGTTTCCCATTGAAAGGGAGTATGCCAGAGGAGAGTATTTATTGTGCATGATCAGCTAGTCAGATCTGAACTACTCTGAGCGATTTGTTTTTGTGCCCGGAGATTCTAAGTTACCAAGTGGGAGTTTTTTGGTTTACAAATGATTCAGAATAATATGAATGGGTCGTAGAGCGTAAGATAGATCTATGAGACCTGCCTACTGGAATTTTCTTTGTTATTAAAAGTTAATGTTCCATCACCACCTTGGTAGTTTCTCTTGTAGAAACTCACGGGGACTGTATAGTGGGTACCTAAGATTTTTGGATATTCGGTTACTTCTTGGGAGTTCTTTCATGGGATTTTTTAGCCATTCTACAATGTTGTGTCAAAGAAAGTTACAAAATTAAATACCTTTTCATTTCATTCACCTGTGTTACTTTTGTTTTGGGGCGATCTCGACTCATTAGAACTTTGTCCTTGCAGGCTAGAATTTGAAGACTGCGTGCTGAAATACCGCGAAATAAAATCAAAGATGCAACAAACTAACGGGGATGGCGGGGATGGAACCTATGTTGACTCTGTTGTTCGGAGCGTTGAGGTTACGATTGTGTTCTGTTTTTTAGAAATATTTTATCGTCTATATCATTCAAATGATGTCAGCCTAAGCTTCAGTTGTTATATTCTATTTTTGCACTTCGCCGGAAAATGGAACATGTACTTTTTTTTCTTTCAGTTTCATGAGCTGGAATTATTAATCATCGTGGTTTTCTGGGTTTCACCTTACTGGAAGATGAAACTTAATGTGTTCATCAACTGTCTTATTCTCAGAGTTACTGTTTATTTATATACTGTCATTTAAGGTTGAAGGGTTTTATTAGTCACGGGAAAACGTGTTCTAGGTCCTTTCTAACCCTCCTATATGAGGTTCTCGTTCAGCTCGAAATCAGCCTTCTCGAGTGTTTGCCAATGGGAAGTATTTGATTTCGAGGCGTTACAAGAGTGAGCTTGAGTGATGGTTCAGTTAGGAAGAGTAGGGGCAAAGGTTGGAGCTCAAGTAATCTCCCACACTACTGATTTGCTGTAGTATGTAGGCACTGTTAAAGGGGCATGTTTTGCTCTCCTGTGTTGAGCCTGTTATTGAAGTAAGGTGTAGAGTTAAAAGGCATTAGTATTGTGACTTGGCTAAGGAGGGGGAGAGGCATATTAGAATTGAGCCTGTTTCTCTAAGCAATCTAAGATGTTGAGTAAAAGGCATTAGTGTTGAGCCTGTTCTTTAAGCAATCTAAGATGTTGCTTGGCGTGTCGGCCTTCGAGGGACAAATCTTGTCGTTCGTATATCCAAGTTCGCCCAACTCCGTTTGGTGAAGCCAAGGGACATTATTTTAGTCGTCCGATGAAGAATTTTAGTAGAGTGGCCTTGTTGAGATCCGATTCAAACTTCCCAAGTCTAACATTGATAAGAATGTTATACCATTCATTCTCTGATGCTTAATTTCAGTACAAGAACGAATTTGTCATATATGTTATGAGAATGTTATGTAAGAAATTTTCTTTATGTTGCAGTCCGTGTTAATGAACCAATATTTCCTATATGTGAGACTTCGTTAATGCATGTGTTTATAAAAGTCATAAACTGTTAAACCGTGCTTCCTTATTTTTTATATGTTTTAGTGTTTTGGTTGCATGAAAGTGAAGTATGTTCGAGGGTTCTGTGTGTGAAAGTGATGCATCTAATGTCAGTTGTATGAACGTGGTACACACTTATGCATGAAAGTCGTGCATATGCAATGAGGCCTATGGAATATGAAAGTGATCTTTGTCTAATGGGTATCGTGTACATGAAAGGGATACCGAGTAATAAAAAAGAAGTGGAATCCAAGATTAGATTTTAAGTCCGATTGTAGTCGTGTTAATCTTAGTTATGATTAAAGGTTGATATATATTTTCTTTTAAGAAATTAAAACACGGATTAGAGTAAGTTTAGCTTTAGAGTAGAGTTGTTAAATTTATCTAAATATGTTAATAAAATAATAATTTATACATCAAATTTTATAATGTGTTAATATGAACGTTCATAATTTAACTGACATAAAATAAAATTCATCTTACATGTAACCATTTTTAACCAAATGTAATAAAATTAAAAAGTTTTTAATACATTGAGTTAAAATGAAATTTTCGAAAAATGGAAGGACCTAAGTTCAAAGTTATCCGCTTTCAGAAAAATATTAGTTATTATAGTCTACGTTGGCCTATTTAATAGATAATCAATGCTTTTATAGATGTAATCTAATTAAAATATGAAACACATGCTGCTGAGAAAGATCAAGAAAAAATAGATAGAAATAAAATTACAAATTATAATAATTTAGTCCCTTTTAACTGTAACAATTAATTATTAAGATAATATAAATTAATAAACTAATTAAAAATTCCATAAGCTATTAAGCTTAAGTTATTAAATAATAAAAAATTGATATTTAATTTTAATATAATTTTTTACAACAAAAATTAAATTGCGACACAAGTATTAATTACTAAAATAAAATAAAAATAAAATAAAATTATTATAAATTTAAAAGTATATAAATTAAATAGTTGAATCGTTGACATAGAAATTTATGTTATAAAGTTTTGTAATTAATTAATTAAAAATTTGAAAATATTTAATGTGTTAAAATAAAACATTCCAAAACAGATCTGACAAACTAAATATCTAACTTTTGTTATTTAAAAAAATAAAAAATCATTTCTAAAATATTAGTTTTTTTTAATATTTGTATTCTTTTCAAAGAACGTGCTCAAATATTGTTTTTTTAAAATATTTTTTCTTTACGCCTAAATACTTTTTTTTATAAAAAAAAAACCACATTGTCAGAAAAATCATTTAATAATTTATAAGCTAATTATTTAATTTTGAAAAGTATTTACCATTATTGATGCTTTAATTAATGTTAATTAAATAACATTGTCCCTCAAAATTATATGACAACCTTTTAAAACTTGTACATATTCTCTACGGATTAAGTTAAAAGTGAACCAATTTCGACCAAACATTGATATCACGAGTCAGGATCATGCATCACACATGCCCCTTTAGAGGGTTAAGCATGACCTCGATCTCGATATATATATATATATATATACAAATTAATTTACTTCCAAGGCTAATCACATGATATTTCTCATCGTGCAACTAGCAAACCTAAACCCTTCTTCTATTCAAATATGTTAAGACAGTTACCAGATAGTTATTCATAAGGGATTTATCATAATTTGAGAGTGTTCATGAGAATCCTTAATTTAGAATAGATCAGTCTAAATCTTTTTCCTATTTTTGTGTTAATTTTATCTTAAAAAAAGGAGAATTAAATTTTATGAAGACTCATTCAATATTGTAAGAAAATAAAAAATGATTAATGCGAAAATATATATTAACCTATTTTTGTTAAATGATTTTAATTAAAAAAAAAAAAAAAAAAAAGGGACGCAAAGACAAGGCTGACCGAAAAGGAGTGTAATTAGTATTTAAGCCCCCTACTTCTCCATCCACCTCCATTGATCTTCTCATTCTTCTCTCTGCAAATTTCTTCTTCTTCTTCTTCTTCTTCCTCCTCATCCTGATCCACCATGGTTCTTTCCAAGACTGCTTCTCAGTCGGATGTCTCCGTCCATTCCACGTTCGCTTCGCGATATGTGCGAACCTCTCTCCCGAGGTAATTGATTTCCTCGATTGCGGATCAGATTTATTTTTTCCGTTGATTCATTCATTGTTGTTGTTGTTGTTTGTTTCTCTCTTTTGATTAGATCTCGATATTGATTAGTGTTATCGCAATGCTATCTGTTATTTGTGATTTGGTGATTTTGCTCTGGATCGATTTCAATAATGTCCTGTTTGGTCCAGATTCAAAATGTCGGAAAATTCAATCCCTAAGGAAGCTGCGTTCCAGATCATCAATGATGAACTCATGCTCGATGGAAACCCTAGGCTGAATCTGGCCTCCTTCGTTACCACTTGGATGGAGCCTGAGTGCGATAAACTCATCATGGCCGCCATTAACAAGAATTACGTCGATATGGATGAATATCCTGTCACTACAGAGCTCCAGGTACCTTTTTCTCTCTCGATCTTTATTAGCCTTAATTGAAAGATTAGATCGATTCGTTCTATCATTTCTCTCCACGAACGGATTTCCCCTGGAAATTATCCTGAAATTCGAATCGAAGCGTTTGGTCATGGCCGAGTTCGATTATGGAATTGAATAATTATAGTTGAATTTTTCAAAATGACATGGTTTTATTAATCAATAATTCTAATATAATTTTGAGAGTTGAATGTGTTTTCATTTTATTTATTATAATTTGACTTGTGACATTTATATTTATAGATTCATATATGATATTTTTATTCAGATTATTATAATTTGACTTGGTACAACATTTATATTGGAAGGAATAGAAGTTCATAAATAAATAAATAAATAATATATATATATATATATATACATATAGTTAAAATAATAATTTTATTTAGCTCATAATTCACTGGAAAATTTTAAACATGTATTAGTTTTTTTTTTTTAATTTTAAAAATAATTAAAAAAATCGAAAAAATTAAAAATTAAAAATTAAGATTTTAAATTAATATAGGGTGAGGTTAGTTGAAATAAAGGAAGAAGGCTGCAACTTGTTTTTTTTTTTTTTTTTTTTTTTAAA